ATCGGGGTAGGATCATCCTTTAAGACGACAGCTTTAATATCGGGGGGTCGTCTTGGTGTACGTGTGTACAGGAGGAGCAGGTGGCAGCAATCGCGCTGGAGCTTTAAGAGCCGAGAGGTGGAGGCTGGAGAACGCATTTCCCGTCGGATACTTGGATCAGCCGAAGAAGGAGGATCGTTTTCAAGGGAGCTCTCGCGCAACCTGTGCACGTTCTCCTTCTTCGTCAGCAACAGCGACAGGGAAGACTGAAAAGGCCACGCGTCGAGGATGAGGCAAGTGGTCGTGCTGGAGCCGGCTGGCAGCGTTCTGGTGATCAGGCAGACTTCCCTAGGCGGCAACGTCACTACCGGCAACACCAATTCCAATGCTGGCTCCAATAACGTTCACGAGACACATGGGCTCGCCAATCATGCCGCCGTGTCCACGATTGCCTCCAATGATCACAATCAGAATCGTATCGTCGTCGTCCGCTCATCCTCGTCGACCTGCATGACCACCACGGTGAGTCGATTAATTCATTGTGGGCGGCTGTTTGCGGACGGGCGCCCGAATCAAATTCGATCCTCCCCGTGGGCGACTTCAATACTGGTAGGAGAACTCCTGTCGGGATCGTTTTAACCCTATGTTGCATAATCAGCGCGATCGGGACACACGCGAAAGAGAATTAACCCCCTGTTTGGTTTCAAATAGTCTAACTTTGGAAACGTGTCATTTTTGGTATTGTTAGACCTCATTAGAAATTCTTATAGCTTTCTTGAAGCGTCGACACCGCTGCAAATATAAAGGATCTTTCGAAAGAGTCTTCAAAATTTTGTTTTTTAACACTTTCGCTGCGGAAGAAAATAAGTAGCCGTTCCCTGGGAGATGCAATTATGATATTTTTTTTAATGAAAAATTTCTTACAAATGTTCTAATATGATTATTTTGAAAAACATACATCTGTGGTAACTTATTTTATATATAATATGATTGCCGAACAAAAAAAATGATAACTGTTCAGTTGGACGCACATGTGCGTCATCCGCAGCGAAAATGTTAATGTATTCAATATATTCTGTGACGTATTATGTACAGGGTGTTCGGTAACTGGCGGTACAAACGAAAAAGGGAGGGGGGATTCTACACGAAAAAATAAGTCGAATATATAGAATAAAAATTTTTCATACGTGGCTTTGCATTCGAGAAAATCGACTTTGAATTTTCGTCGGGTACGCTTGATCATGTCCCGTTATAACGGATCTCACTGTAGATCATTGTCTCGATTGAAGTTATGTCGATAAACACTTCCAATGATGGCACGGAAATGTTGTTTTAGCTATTATGTTACTATTATTATCGGAAACAATCGAATACGTTATAAAGCATTCATAGAAATTTAATTAGAATAGCAAAGGTATGTATTCGGCAGAATGGGCAACGTTTTCGTCAATATCTGTAACGATCAATTTTACGATTACTTTATAATTCTATTTCATTACGTGTTCCTAACTTAAACTGCGATAGTAACCATCGAGACAACGATCTACAGTGAAATCACAGATTTTTTACTTTCTTTCTCCCAAATTTCGCGCGAAACGACGCGATATATCAGCGAAGAAAAATGAACAAATTGTTCCGACATTGGACACGTCGAACGCGTGTTCGTTTAACGTTTCTTTGTGTACGTTAGTGCGACAAGGTTCCACGGAAGACGTCCTGTCTGTTTCACCAGGCCGACAATCACGTATCAGCGAATAGTAACGGGAACGTGAACGTGAACGCTAACCTGAACGGAAACGCCGGTGGTATCGTTAGCAAAACATCATCGAAGGTCGGTGTCGGTACCAAGGTGAACGAGAGAAACGATCATCTCAGGAACGATCACAAGAGCCAAGATGGGATCGGTACGGGCGAATCGAACTCTGGATGTCGTCCAAGGACGAGCAAGGAAGCAGCTCACGAGAACGTCTCCTTAGACAGGAAGCTCGATGGCGCGGATCCCATCTCCGGTAAGTACTTCCGCCGTTACTTGCTTTTACCTTTGACGGACCAGCCGATCCCGTCTGTGAATTATTTATTCCTGCATCGGGCCACTCCCGAACGGCGAGTTCAGATCATTTTCCTTAGATGTTTATACGTCGACGAGAGGAGACGACATCGTGTAACGGTCTTCGCTAGCGATGAGATCATGTTCGACGATCGAGGTGCGGTAGAAGGAAAGAAATTAAATTTGTTTCGGATTGCTTTGGGTGAATTGCACATAGATTGGAAAGGGTTATGGTACGGAGGTGTGGGTGTACCTTTTGTATTTGTTATTAGAGGGGATAATGACCGATATCTTCGAGGGTACAATTTTGTTGATTATACTGTAGAATTACATTTCGTTTGTTATATACTATATTAAATATAATAGGTGTATTATATAAAATATAGTGGATACAAGTTTATTATATTTATGTAATATTTGAATACTATCTTATAATTTATACCGTAACGTAGAATCGTGTTCGATGCTGTAGATCATTGGAATAGGAATCGAGTACCTACTATGCAGAGATAGAAAGTTGGCTAGTGGGTCTGACTGGTGAAAATACGATCTCCTAGATTATTTTATAGATTCTACATTATAATATAAATTCTTGCATTAAAATAAATATTATACAAATATAATATATATACACCTACCATAATTAACGGAATATTTACCAAGCAAAACATAATTCCGTAGTATTAGGTCGTCTCATAACTTCGTACTGAAGACTGTATCGATAATTAATAAATAAAAATCTACAGAAATATTATAGTGACGATATAGCAATTATGTCAGAGAGCTGAGAAAAAATTGTAAAATCAGAGAGATTACCTTTTTTTTATAACACTTAAGTTTCACATATTAATTCGAGCAGCAGAGGTATAAGTGGTATGAACTTTTAGGACGACCTAATATAATCAAAGAAACTGTACCGTTACCGATCCAACCCTTCATCTTTTTATATTCGCATAGTACTCTATCAACCTTCGATGAGCAAGACGCGCCCGTAGTTTCGAACATACACGGGTCATAGTATAAGTATACTCGGAAGCGCAGCTTTTGTTTCCCGAAGTACTTACAAACGGTTCGAACGTTCCTCGGTTAGGTTCGAGGTTTACTCGAAAGCCCGTTTTCGTTCGCGGAAGTATTTATAGAGGGTACGGTAGGGGGATCCGATACTTGCTCGCAAGGTGCTTGATCTCATCGCTAACCGCTACCCTCGGTTGCCAGTCTACGGAAACGTTTGCGGAGTTATGGCTTTATGTTCCTGTTTGCGATTGGTACCAGCGGGGCTTTTGTTCGCCGCCGATAGGAAAGGGAACGGGGCAATCCGATTTTCGGTTATGGTCGAGCGACGAATCGTCGACGGAAGTGCGCGTTGATTCGCGAAGAAACGGGACAATGTTTCCCCGATCGGAATGCATTTGTGCGAGGAAACGAGCCCGATGAAATGCCGTCGGGCGCGCACCGTTGTGCAACGATGAAATATTTCGTTTATTCTCGCCGTTTTTCCGTTATTTCGCCCGCGACCTTTTATTACTTAGCTCGTCTGTATGCGTGGCTGATGTGAATCGAAGAAATAGGTAAATAGTTGAAGTTGATTTCAAGAATTGCAAGACTACTAAATACAAAATGAAGAGTACGTGAAAAAGGTCACTTAAAAGAATGCTTTTCCTATGAAATGCACTGAATCGTACAAAATAATTTTTATCTCCTAGGCTAGTGCTACTATAGATATTAGGTGGACTGGAAAGTAATGTCGTTTATTTTACATTAAATACAAATAAATTTTTAATAAATTCCTTTTTTTAAACAATTATGTAATCGACCTCATTATCGACAGCCTTTTGCCGTTTAGTGTACAAATTGTGAATGCCAGATCGATAAAAGTCAATGAGCTAGTGAGTGATAAACAAGTATTTCAAATTGAAAAACGACATTACTTTGCAGTCCACCTAATAAAAGCATAGGGATAAATGATTTAAAGGCCACTTGCTACTCGTGACTAGTATATTGTCATAAAGAAGCTCTGCTTTTATGTTCAATGTTAGGAGACAAGGATTCTTCTATTCTTTTTAGTGCATTTAATAGATAAGAGACATTTTTTAAAAAGGTTTCATTTTATATATTTTTTATTCATAGTTTTTCCTTGCGTCTGTATCGGAAACGCAACATTTGGGAAGAATATCGACACGGAACAGCTTTTTCGCAACACGATAAAGTGCTCTAATAAAAGTTTCTCGTGGCAATTGGATATCTCACGGTAGTGTGCCTCGTTCTGCGCATAGCTAGATTAATTAAGATGATAAAAGAAACCAGAAGTTTGCCGCATCTTTACACACGACAGAAACTGTCGAATGATATTTACTTCTTTGCAGTTGTTCCCGAAGCATTGGTAGTTTAGTAAATTATTCTGTCAGAATCGTATAAATTTTATTCGAACAAGTACAAGTCCTGTGCGACGTTCTATATAGATTTTCCTATAGTTTTCTTTCGTATAATGTATGTATAATGTATGCGGTCTCCTAATTTCGTTGGTCCTTTGGGTTGCAATTTATAAAATTCTTCCTCTGAATTTCGTGATAGATTCGTCAAGTGAAATCTCTTTTTTTGGAATAAAACAATCTTTGAACTTAGCTTCAATGTAATCTATTATAAGAAGCTGCTACGAATTCTTATCCTAATGCTTTCATCGTCCAAAGCATTTGCATTTGTAACATCCAAGAAATTTGGAGAAACCTTAAAAAGTAGTACTATCGTATCGCGTGTCGCTGCATAGGCACCATTTACATACTCGTATCAGGAATATCCCAACTAAAGAACGTAATAAATAAATGTCAATGAATAATCGATAATTGTTAACAGCTAAATCGTACGATTCCTGCATGCGTCAAGACAGTAACCTATTAAATATTAAATATAACTTCACCGCCAGCCTCTTCAATAATAAATAAACTCTCCGAAACTGGCGTGCATGTAAAACGATGGGGTTGGGGTACGAAAGGGTCGCAGCTCGAAACTTTTCTCGCCAATAATTTTGTTAGTTGGAGTGTTTCTAGATTTCGTTTTGTTTTAGGGAACAGTGCGGTAGAAAATTCCGAATTCTGTGCGTACCATTGACCGGTATCCGTGGCACGAGCGAGCTCTTTAATTCTTCCCCTTTAAGTCGCATATTTAAATTTCAAATGAGAGAGCCCATCGATCGAATTTCGTTCGGAATCAAAACTATTTAAGACCGCATGAATTATACATAGTTTGCGTTAACTTCTACGACAGAGGAAACAATTACTCGTGCCTCGTATTAATGAATTTTTAACATCGCGACGGGGGAGGGATGGGTGGAGATGGGTGTATCGTGTCAGAGATATTGACGCAAACTTAAAAATAGGTAGGGTAGTTTGGTGTAGACGTGCTGTGGGTAGATCTTTCCAAAATTGAGTCATCCAATGGTAAATTAGGAAAAAAAACCACGATCCAATGTCTTTGTTTATAGAAAAATAACTTTTTAGAACGTTTTACTATAATTATTAGGAATTATGAGTGGATATTAGCTTGTATATAATTCAACAGTCTCCTTAAATGCACAAGTTACTCTACGTTAAATGGTAATAGTCTTGACGAGCTGTATAAAACGTTCTCGACTCGGATTTCAGTTCACATTGGTATGTTAGTGTCCATGATAACATCGAGATAAAATAGAAAATAATGTAATAAAAAAACTGAGTCCCCCAATAAAGGTCTTTATCGAAAAATAATTTCCCCAGGTCGTTTAGTGTTCATTAATAATTGTTCTAAACAACGATTGGAATATTAGCTTTCCAAGAGTCAGCTAGCCTTATAAGGTTCCCGAGGTCGAATCCACAGAACTTATTAGCGATAGCGAGGCACGTGACATAATCACGCAATGTATACGGAGAAATGTAACGCAGATAATACACGTCAGTGAATTTAGTAACAGTGATTGCGAAGTAGCAAAAAAAAAAAAAATAAGTTCTGTGTAGATAAAATGTCAACAAACGTAAATGCTCGCGTCACAGCCATTACTTCGAGTACGAATACATTTCTGAAGAGCCCTTTTTCACTTTAGACCACGTTCCGTGACCTTTGGACGCTGAATAAACCCAGCGACCACGACAAACTCGTGGGAACGTTGCAAACGAGATTCACCTGCAATTACTTTTTCCACCTACTGTTTCAGCCGTGTTCAAAATTGGAGTTTAGGGTAAGGAGATCCGTCTCCTTTTATCGCATCATGGTTGAGTCACTCGAAGCAGGGAATCCGGTTAAACTTTCCCGAGAAAAAGGATCCATTACCGGAGTCCTTCTTCGAGTCTTTTTTTCACCCCCCTATACTTTCTTCTTTTTTTTTGTTTTTTATATAATCCGTCGCGCGAGAGCGACGTCGCGAGAGCGTATAATTTGTCCACGTTGACTTTTTTCCTCCAATTTTTCATTTTTTTCCCCCATTCCCATCCTGAACTTCTCGACGTTACGTGTTCCATTCTTTCGTCGTCAAACGCGCCAACCTCTTTATCGCTCCTCGTGGCGACTCGCCTCTCCGCTCGTTTCCAGAATCGAATATATGCAGACGGCGCGGGTGGGCATGCATATGCAGCCCCAGTTGCACAGTAACGTAATGCATACAATACGAAAGATACGTTCGGATACGAACGGGAAAAATTTACGTTCTTCATGGCCAGAAAATCGGTTGATTTTCGTGTACGTAGGTATTAAACTGGATGATTTATAATAAACATTTAGTTTAATTACGTTTAATTAGGTGTAACATTGCTGAGATTAGTGTCACATTTCAGTTGAGTCTTTGATGGATTTGAAGTGTTTTATTGTTCATTGATATGTGAGAAGGCGTAGATTATTTTTTGTAAAACGAGTAGGTTTCAATATACGTTCTGACTATAAGGTCTGTCCCAAAGGTTCAATTATAAAGTATAAGGTTTAACTAGAGTTCAACTAGAAGGTTTCACTATAAGTCTTGACTATAGGGTTTAATTCCAAAAATTAATTATAAGGTTTGACTATAAGGTCTGTCCAAAAGGTTCAGCTGTAATATAACTCCATTTCCACAATTTTATTCAGCAGCGAGGAAAGCGAAAATAACCAGCGGCATTCGAACAGGGCGCAACCTTTGCAACGAAAACTTTTCGATTGTTCGACTCGCGGGGGGTTACGATGTCACGTGTTTTCCGATAGTTCTCGTCTGGTCGTTGTCGTCTGGATCAACCCCCGCGACTCGCGCGGGAACACACGCCCCCGTAGAAAATGTTTTCAGAAGAATCGAACAACCGAGCACGCGTATTTCTGTGTAACTGGGGCCGCATATGCATATGCCCAACCGTGCCAGCTGCATACGTTCGATTCTGGAAACGAATAGAGAGGCGAGCCACCGTAAAGAGCAAAATATTGTTTTTAATTTATGAAATAACTGATTATCACTCTGGCTGCCTTTGATGATTGCTACTTATATTTCTTGTCCAAGGCTTTCATAGGTGAAGGTGTGTTTTTTTAAACTCTGTTTTGTGTTTTTTTTTTATG